ATTTTGGATGCAGCTCTGGCAGAGGGTCTGGGTGACCTTTGAGGTCCCTCCCACCCCACCCCACCCCTCAATCCCGGGGTTCCCCGTCCCTACCCGTGGCCACGGAGCGGATGAGCACCGAGTTGAGCTTGAGGACGGGGCTGAAGGTCTGTTTGTTGTCCGAGGAGCCCAGCGCTGTCTTGCTGTGGCACTTGAGCACCAGCTTCTCATCCTGCTTCTGCAGCAGCACCAGGAGGTCCTCCAGGAGCAGCACGTGCAGGTCTGGGGGGCAGGAAGGGCAGGAGTTAGGGGGGGGGATCACCCAGGGATGAGCCGAGTGGGAGCAGGAAAGTGGGGAAGGGGGGGGGGATAAAGGGGAGGCGAAACACCCAACGTCACTGGGCACACCGAGGGGCATCTCCCAGTGCTCCCAGCGTTCCCAGTGCACCCAGCAGGCTGGGGGAGGGGGTGGGAAAGCTCCCATACCCACGGTCTTGTCCTTGCCCACGCGCCAGGTGAGGGGCCCCTCGTGGATCATGCGGCGGGAGGTGAGATCCAGGTTCTGCGGGACGACCAGGAAAGGTTGGGAAAAGGGACCCCCACAGCCCCCCCCAAAACCACCCCCTGCCCCCCCCCACCCAGGGCACCTTGAACTGGGCAGCCAGGGGGTTGCTGGTCCTCTCCAGGGGGGTGGTGTCCAGGCGTTTCTGGTAGCCCTCCAGGCGGTGCCGGTTCTCCGCCCGCTTCACCGCCTCGTTCACGTTCCTCAGGATGTCCCGGCACTGATCCCGGGCCCGGCACAGCTTCTCCAGCTCCGGGGAGCCTGCTGGGGGTGGGGGGAGGCACAGGGATCACACTGGGGCACTGGGGGAAAGGATTTTCCCATGCCCACATCCCAGTGACATCCTGGGCGCTGAAAGGATCTCGGAATTCCCGGAATTGCTGAGGTTGGAAAAGCCCTCCAGGAACACCAATCCCACCCTGTGCCCCTCCTGGGCTGATCCCATCCCACCACCTCCCTGGGCAGCCCCTGCCAAGGCCCTCACCACCCCATCCACGGGGAAATTCCTGCTGATGCCCAACCTGGCACAGCTTCCCCCTCATCCTGTTGTTCCCCCGGGAGCAGATCCCAAGCCCTACGAAGACCAAGAAGGTCCCCCTGAGCCTCCTTTTCCTCTGGGATAAAGAGGGAAATCCTCCCCTGCTCCCCTTCAAATATTCCCACCTCCAGGACTTCCCACCGGCCTGGAATTCCCCCCCCCCTCTCTCTGGACATCCACGGAACCCCGGGGTGGGAAACGCGGGACGTGAGAACCCTGGGATGAGCCCCCCCTCCCCATCCTGGGATAAACCCCCTGGGCTCAGGGCTCGGGAATGAGCCCCACGCCCTCACCCTCGGTGAACTTGATGATGTTCTCCAGCAGCAGGGGGTACTTGGTGAGCCGCTGCATCTCCGAGATGATCAGGTCCTTGAGCTGCAGCCGCCGGCACTGCGGGTTGCTCTCGGCCTCCTGGGGGGGAAAAGGAGAGGCTGGGACACCCCAAAAACGGGATCCAGGGGGTGGAGGGGACGCGCTGACACACCCCACAGACCTGCATGAAGGCCTGGAACCGGCTCTCCTTGCGCTGCTTGGTCTTGATGAGCTCCAGGGCGATGGACTGGTAGGAGCAGAAGGTGGCAGCGACCTGCTGGATCTCCTCCTTGGCAGGGCCGTCAAACTGGGGGGGGGAAATGTGGGCAGGATTGGGGTCAGGGACACCCCTTGAAGCTCCCCCCCAGCCCCTTTAGTAGAGGGGACAACCAGGCCCTTGTCCCCTTTTTCCTTCCTCACCCGGGACAGCATGAGATCCCCGATTTCCTTGATGATGGGTCCTTCTTCCCGGAGCTTCTTCATGGATTCCAGCAGGGAATCTGGGATGGGGGACAGGCAGGATACCTGAGAGGGGTCACCTGGGCCGGAGGGGACCCCAGAAAGAGGATCCCAGGAGAGGGGAGGGGGAGGAGGGAGCTGCTCCACGAGGGGGTGACCCCACAACCTCAGCCCACCCCCCCCATGCTCCCAGGGCTAATTCCAAGTGGGAATAAGTGGTAATTCCAGGCTGGGGGGGCTGGGGACAGAAAAGGTGACATCTCTCACTGTGGATGTCGATGAGGTCGGGCAGGTTGGGGAAGAGCAGCCCCAGCTCCTCCCGGGACAGCAGGTTCTCCTTCCTCATCCTCTGGTAGAACAGCAGGTCCAGGACCCTCAGGATGCGCAGGTGGGACCCCTCGGTGGCAAAGAGCTCTGGGGAGGGGGGAAGAGGGAAAGGGAGGGAGGGAGAGGGGTGGGGGAGAGCCCAGGGCAACCCCCCCCTGGGGCTGGGGGGGCACTGCTGGGGGGGGAACCCTCCCACCTCGGGGTACCTCATGGCAGCAGGGGGGGTCTTGGGGACACTGTTGGGGTGTCAAGGGCACTGCTGGGGGGTCTTGGGGACACTGCTGGGGGGTCTCCCACTCCCCTGGGGTGTCCCATGGGGCTGGGGGACACTGCTGGGGGGTCCCTCACTGTGTCAGGGGCACTGCTGGGGGGGTCTCCCACTGCCCTAGGGTTCCCCATGGGGCTGGGGGGGGTTGGGGGGCAGTGCTGGGGGGTCCCAAACCCCCCCCTTCCCCTTGCAGGGTCCATACCGTTGATCACCTCCTGTCTCTCCACCTCCCGGGGGGGCAGGTTGGCCACCAGCTCCCGGCTCACCGTGTGCTGCCAGTTCTGGGGGTCCAGCTCGGGCTCCAGGTCCCAGAGCTGGCCCTGCTCGTCCTCCAGCAGGTGGGGCAGGAAGGAATCCACCCCAAAGCCCAGGCTGGGAGACTCGATGCTCCTGGGAAAAGGATGAGGGGGTGGGGGGGGGGAATTCTCCGTGTTTGGACTGGAATTTGGAGCCCTCAAGGAGCACAAGGCTCTGACTCTGGACCTAAAACACTATGACCCCCCCCCTTTTATAAATGTCCTTTAAGCTCCTGCTTAACACAAGGGAAAAGGAGCCCCCTCATCCCACCCAGGGGGATGGGAAAATCGTGGGAATTCCCTCCCTTTCCCCCAGGGGAATCCAAGCCCTTGTGGTCTCTCCCCAGCCTGGCTGGAAGGTAAGGAAGAGCTAAGGAAGTAGGGGATGGAGCCCCCCCAAAAATAAATGCACAGCCCCAGGGGGTTCCTACAGAGAGAATTCCTGCTCCGAGGGAAAACCTGGAGCAGTCCTGGAGGGTTTGGGAGAGAGAGGGAGGGGTGAGGGGGTCACTCACCTACGGCCCATCTTTGGAGTGAAGGGGGGGGTGGGATTTTCCAGAGACCTGGGGGAGGGATGGGAGAGTCACCTCTGTGTGCCCCAAAATCCCACCCTTCCCTCAAGACCCTCTGGATGTGGAGGGCCAGTCTGGGGGCAGGAATGGGAATGAAAGCCCAGTTCTCCATGGGTTTTTTTTCCAAAGGAAACACACAGGAGGTTCTGTAGGAGCTGCAGGGATGGAACCCCCTCAGCTCTGCCCGGCTGGGCTGGGTTTTGACCCCCAGGAATTCCAAAACTTTCCCTGACCCCCCCCAGGCTTTGTCTTCCCGCCCCCCTCCAGCATTCCCAGCTCCCTGGGGATGGAGATTCCCACCTGGTGGACAGGCTGGATGCAGAGGAGGAGGCCGACTGGTGCAGCCGGGTGGCCTCGGCCGCCGCGTCCATGTCCACGTCGCTCCGGGATCTGGGAACGTTCTCGGCTTTCCGGGATCTCTTCATCTCTTCGCGGCCCTTCAGGCTCTCGGAGCGGCCCAGCCTGACCTCAGCACGGGAGCTGGAGCAGGGAATAAACCCCGGGAAAAGGCTGAGCCTGGCTGGGATCCCTCTGGATCTGTCCCTGCCCACCAAGATTCCCGTCCCGCCCAAACCATCCCGCGATTCCAGCGCTCCAGGAGACCCCTTCCCAAAACTCCAGGATGACCCTCCCCAAACCCCTCCCACACCTGTCTGATTCCAGCAGATCCTCTGGGAAACTCCCCGTGGAGAGGCGCTGGGAGCCGGGCTCCTGGCTCTCGTAATGCTGGTTGTTCTCAAAGTGCTGGATGATATTCCTCACGTTCCCGGGTTTGACTGCTGGGATGAACGCAGGGAAAACAACACAAACCCCCCACCCCAAACAACACACACACTGAGTCAGACCAGGATAGGGGAAACAGCACCCAGCTCCTCTGGGGATGCTGGAATTCCCGGGGTGCCGAGTGGGAGAAGCCATCCTTCCCTCCCCAGAGCCCGTCCCGACAGCCAGGGAATGTTTTTTTGGGGAGCTCAGGGGGTGGAAAGGGGGGAAGAGGGGGGGGGGGACACAAAATCCAACATAAGCTCATGAGGTGAATGGCAAAACAAAAAGGAGTTTTTACCTTCGACAGGGGACAAAGGGACATGAAATGCTGGAAGGAAGAACAACAAAAACAAAAACAAAACAAAACAAAAAAAAAGAATGAGGTGTCAAATCAATCCCCCGGGGTGGCAAATCAAACCCCCTGAACTCCAGAGACCAAGGAGGGGATGGGAGAGGTGGGAAGGGTGGGAATTCCAGGCTCTGGTGGGGGGTGTCCCTGCCCACGGGACTGGATGAGCTTTAGGGTCCCTTCCCAACCCCAATTCCACGATTTCCCAGGGAATTGCTCCCAGCCCTGCCGGAGCTCCAGGAGAGCTGGACAACGCTCCCAGGGACAGGGTGGGATTGCTGGGGCTGTGCAGGGGGCAGGATTGGACCTGGATCCTTGTGTGGTGTCCCTTCCCACTCAGGGCATTCCAGGATTCCATGAGAGCTCAGCTCTGCCCCCTTCCCGCTCCCCCCTTCACCCCAAAAAGCCACGTGGAAACACGGATGGGTGACGGGATGAGGGTGGGGGGGGGATGAGAAACATCTGGCACGGGGTGAGCAGGAATTCCAGGGGTTCCCAAGGCATTCCCAGGAAGCTGCAGCGGGCTCAGCACCTCGGGATTCCCGACACTCACTGCTCTGGGAGGAGATTTTGGGCTTCCCGATGTACTTGAGGATGGGGTTGCGCTTCTTGTCTTCCAGGGCATCCTTGTCCTTCTTGGAGCTGCTGCTCTGTTTGGGACACCCAGGAGGGTGAAACACGGAGAGGAAACATCCCCACGGGAGCCCCGGGGGGGAATCCTGACATTCCCTGTGCTGGAATGAGCCCCTGGAGAAGGGATGGGGCCGGGATCTGCTGCTCTGCTGGTGTGGGGGGAGATGGGGATCTCCGGAGGGCCAGAGGGGACAGAGCTGGGGAAGGGGCTGGAGACACTCCTGAGGGAGCTGGGGGGGTTAACCTGGAAAAAAGGAGGCTCAGGGGGGACCTTCTGGCTCTGGAATTCCCTGCCAGGACGGGGGAACCAGGGAGGAATCAGGCTGTGCTCCCAGGGAACAAGGGACAGGAGGAGGGGGAACCCCTGGAGGTGCCCAGGGAAGGCCTGGCCGTGGGTGGTGGTACCGAGTGACAAGGTGGGGATGGGGCGCAGGGGCTTTCCCAACCTCAGGGATCCCGGGATTCAGGGCTATCAGGGGAGCCAGCACCCACCTTCTTGGCCTTGGGGAAGAAGGGCAGCCACTTGTCCCTGTCGGGGAGCGACGGGGCCTTCTCGGAGGCGCCGGCGGGACGGGGGTCCCGCACGCGGATCCCGGTGTGGTTCATGTAGGTGCTGAGGGCAAAGGCCATGGGGGAGCTGGAAGAGAGCAGAGCACGGGCATGGAGAGGGATCTCACCTCTGGATAACCCTGGGGAGAAAGCCCAGCAGGGGGATGAGGCTGAGAGGGAAGAGGGAAGGAGAGGAGGGAGATGGAGGGAGGGGAGAGGGGCACACGCACAGCCCAGCAGATCCCAAAGGGGGAGTTTGTCCTTCCCCGAGGATCCCACGGGGAAGTTCCGTGCCCTGGCATCACTCACCTCCTGTCCTCTTCATACTTCGACCTGTGGAGAGACAGGGAGGGATAAAATGGGTTGATTTGGGACGCCAGCTGAGGTTGCTCCTGCCCCCCCCCACACACACTTTGGGGTGTCCCCCACCCCAAACCCCACAGGCAGGGGACACTCACAGGATGTCCCCGAGCTGGGCCAGCTGCTTCTCGGCCACCTGCCGCTCCTTCTGGGGGTCCCCATCCAGCTCCAGGAGGTCGTTCTCCCCGTAGAGGCTCCCCAGGCCCATCGTCCGCTTCGTCCTGCAGGGACCGGCACCGGCACTTTGGGATGGGGCCTCGGTGGACATCGGGGCTTATGGGCCCGTGGGGCTTGTAGGGCCTGTGGGGCCTAAGGGGTCTATGGGGCCTCTGGGGCCCTCAGGGTTTATGGGGCCTATGGGGCCCTCACGGCCTGTGAGGCCTGTAGGGCCCAAGGGGTCTGTGGGGCTTCTGGGGCCATTAAGGCCTGTGAGTCCTCTGGGGCCCTCAGGGCCTGTGGGGCTTAAGGGGTCTATGGGGCTTATGGGGCCTATGGGGTCAATGGGGCCTATGGAACCCATGTGGCCTATAGGGCCTAGGGGGCCTTTGAAGCCTACAGGACCCATTGGGTTTATGGGGCTTATGGGGCCTATGGAGTCTAAGGGGTCTGTGGGGCCTTTGCAGCCTGTGGGGTCTGTGGGGCCTGCAGGGCCTTTGCAGCCTGTGGGGTCTGTGGGACCTGCAGGGCCTTTGCAGCCTGTGGGGTCTGTGGGACCTGCAGGGCCTCTGCAGCCCGTGGGGTCACCCCCCTGCAGGTGGGGTACCTGTAATCCTGGATCTGCTCCTGGATCTCGGGCATCACCATCTCCTGGGCCTCGAACAGGGCGGCCCGGGCATCGTCCCCGTTCCGCAGGCGGCTCTCTGAGGGACGGGGAGGGGACAATCCCGCTCACCAACCGACCCCCAGGGACATTTGGGAATCCTCAGGGAGAGCAGATACCACGAGGAGAGCACTGGGATCGCCGGGAAGAGCTCCTGGAGCCCCCAGCCCCAAACCCTCCTCCCAAGGGACGGCCCCTCGCTCACCGATCTCCGCCAGGAGCTGCTCCGACACCTTCACCCGGAGAGGCTGCACAGGGAGGGACAACAGGGGAGCAGCTCAGCTCTGGATCCCTTTTTCCCAGCTGGAAGGGGCTGGGATTACGGTGCTGGAGCCCTGAA